GTGTGTGTGTGTGTGTGTGTGTGTGTGTGTGTGTGTGTGTGTGTGTGTGTGTGTGTGTGTGTGTGTGTGTGTGTTGTTGTGTGTGTGTGTGTGTGTGTGTGTGTGTGTGTGTGTGTGTGTGTCCTCCAGACGGGTTTGGGTGGGGTCTTATTTGAGGATGGCGGTTTAACCATTTATCTCTCCCTTTTAGTTGAGGATGTATTTACAGTAAACGAAAAATAGTCATATATCAATATTTGTTTAAAAAAAATAGTATCTAAATATATATATAAAATCTGAAATTTTACCTTAAAATGACAGATATACAATTTAAAAAAAAGAGAAATGGGGTGATTTCATAGTACAATTTCACTTATTTAGATATTATTTTTGAAAACCAAACATTCCAGAGAAGATCAAGAATTTCATCAACAACCAAGTGACCTTTCGTATCCCAATGCCAAGCAATTGTGTTGTGGACACCAGAGGTATAGATGCTTCATTTTTACGAATGTAGAATATGTGATCAACCAAATTTGCATATCTGCTGTGCGAATACTTGTGTTTCTTTTGGGATAAGTGGTTCATTGAGAAGGTTGTGGATGAAAACCATTTTCGCCATATTCAACATTTGGCTCAGTTATGTAGCTTTGCTATTTTCATATTGAACCTATGTAGTCATGCTGAGTGGTTCTGTCAGTTGGCCAGTGGGACAGCATTTATTCATGCTTACATAGAGTTACATCTGTAAGAACATGCTATTATTTTTGTTGTAATTTTATTGTCATGAGGTCTTTGCAAGTGTAACAACAAGGTAAATCATATAACATCTTCAGGAGCTTTGATTGTAGTATTGTGACATGGGATTTACTATGTACTATGTACTATGTGTATATTGTATGTGTTGTGACATACTTATCGTCACGCTCTTCTGTTTTAGGCCACAGAACGCACAAGCGTTTTGCAAAGGTCTACTTTAGCTGTGCTGAGAGAGGAGAACACTGCCTGTACAACCACACTTACCTGAAGATGAAAACACGATGCCCTAGACTTTGGATCCACATGATGTTTCTTACATTGCAGGTATGATTGAGTGTGACCAGATTCGTGATAAAATAAAATAATTCTTAACATTGTCATGTGATTGATGAATTTATTCATCTTCTATCCATGCTTATGTAGTATGATGTGTTTACATCCCTGTAAGTGATTTTGAGGTTAGACTGCGTAACTCAGTTAAGTAAACACGGTGTATTTGTAAAAATCGGTAGTAGACATATACATTTACAGCTGATGCAGGAAAAAACCATAATATGTTGCTGATGTGTATGCTTGTCATATTTAGGCACGTTCAGAGAAGCCTCTCACCCAGGAAGATCAGCAAGTGTTGGCCCTTAAATCTACCTGGGACTCTGTAAAAAATGACGGCAAAAGCTTTGTAGCTCTAATAACCTCAGCCTTCCCTTCCATCAAGGTAGGTTACTTCTGCAGTAAGACTGTGTAGGCTTCGTGTAAAATGCTTCTGTGTCTGGAATTCAGACTGTATCTTGTGTGTTATACAGTTATAAGAAATTTAGTATAGCTTAGAAGTGTGCTTCAGCAAAAAGTGTACTATTAACAGATATAATTGTGCATACACATGTGATACTGTGAAACTCATGTATGCACCCATACACCTTGAATACCTTTCCCGGACAGTTCTTTCATTTCGTGTATATTATACACTCCCAATGACATCACGCGCGTATATTATAGTCTATATTATACACCCCATGACATCAGCGCGTGTATACTTATAGTCCTGATATTTATACACTCCACATGACATCACCGTGTATATTCATAGTCTATATGTATACTGCACTCCGCTAATAGTTAAATACATCCGACACACGCGTGTATAGTTGATAGTCTAATATAAAATACAACTCCCGAATCACTTCCATACGTGTAGTATTATAGTCTATATTATAACACTCCCAATGACATACACGTGTATATTATGTCTTATTATACACTCGCCAATGTCGCATCACACGTGTATATTATAGTCCTATATTATACACTCACATGACATCACGCTGTGGTATATTATCAGTCTAATATTACTACACATCCCAATCACATCACGCATGTATATTATAGTCTTATATTATTACACTGTGCCCAATGCACATCACGCGCTTATATTATAGTCTATATTTATACACTCAAATGCACATCACACGTGTATATTATATGTCTAATATTATACACTCCCAATGACATCACGCGTGGTATATTATAGTCTATATTATACACTACCCAGATGACATACGCGTGTATATTATAGTCTATATTATACACTCAATGCACATCACGCGTGTATATTATAGTCTATATTTACACTCCTCAATCACATGCACGCTGTATATTAGTTATATTATAGCTCATCATCACCGTGTATTATACATTCACTCCCATGACATCACGCGTGTATATTATAGTCCTTATAATTATACACTACCCAATACATCACGCCCGTGTATATTATAAGCTCTATCTTTATACACTCCCACTGACGATCACGCCGTGTATATTAATAGGTCTATATTAAACCAAAAAAAAAAAGAAACTCTCTCAATGACATCAACTGTATATTATAGTCTTATTATACACTCCAATGACATCACAGCGTGTATATTATAGTCTATATTATACACTCCAATGACATCACGCGTGATATATATAGTCTATATTATACACTCCCAATGACATCACGCGGTGTATATATAGTCTATATTATACACTCCCAACTGACATCATGCACGTGTATATTCTAGTCATATTATACACTCCAATGACATCAACACGTGTATATTATAGTCTATATTATACACTCCCAATGACATCACGCGTGTATATTATAGTCTATATTATACACTCCCAATGACATCACGCGTGTATATTATAGTCTATATTATACACTCCCAATCACATCATACGTGTATATTATAGTCTATATGTATACACTCCCAATGACATCACACGTGTCAATTATAGTCTATATTATACACTCAATGACATCACACGTGATATATTATAGTCTATATTACTACACTCCAATGACATCACGCGTGATATTATAGTCTATATTATCACACTCCCAATGACATCACGCGATGTATATTATAGTCTATATTATACACTCCCAATGACATCACCGCGTGTATATTAATAGTCTAGATTATACACTCCCAATCACATCACACGGTGTATATTATAGTCTATATTATACACTCAATGACATCACACGGTGTATATTGATAGTCTATATTATACACTTCCAATGACATCACGCGTGTATATTATAGTCTATATTATACACTCCCAATGACATCACGCGTGTATATTATAGTCTATATTATACACTCCCATGACATCACGCGGTATATTATAGTCGTAGATTATACACTCCCAATCACATCACACGTGTATATTATACGTCTATATATACATCCCAGACATCACGGCGTGTCCATATTATAGTCTTATATAATAACACTCCCAGATGACATCACGCGTGTATATGTATAGTCTATATATACACTCCCAATGACATCACGCGTGAATATTATAGTCTATATTTTACACTCCAATCACATACGCGTGTATAATATATCTATATTATACCACTCCAGGACATCACAGTGGTACAGGGGCGGCGCCACAGGGCGGGCAGGGGGGGGCGGTCGCCCCCTATCATTTGCAAGACAAAGAAAAGAAGAGAAGAAAAAGAAAAGATAAAAGAAAAAAGACATAGAAAAAAAAAGAAAAAGATAAAAGAAAAGGAAAAAAGAAGTAAGAAGAACAAAAGAAACATCTTGCAAAGTGTCTTGCAAATGATGGGTGGGGGGGGGTCACCCCCATCATTTGGCCAAGACAAGGCTAAGAGAAGAAGAAGATTCGATTGCATAATAGATAGGGGGATCGCCCAAAAATGAGTGCGATATGTGAGCCCTAGCCAAGCTGGACCACTTTCATCGAAAAATTCGAAAATTAAGTGTCGAAATTCAATCCATATAAAACCTGTGGCTAATTTGATATCGATGTCGAGTGTGTTATTTCCTTGAGTTCCAAGTTGGACCAATCATTTGTCCGGATGGATTCTGGTTTCCCGGCGAAAGGTAGGCACACTTGAGAATGTTTAACAACTTATAAATTTAAATTATTACAGCGTTCAGACTGGACCTCTAATTCAGAGCGTATCTAGGAAACAACGGTTCGCCCGGGCAAGGTGCTAAAACTTGCCCCCTTCCAACTTCTGACGCCAATGAAAAAATTAAGAAAAAAATTGAATGTTGAGTTTTTCGTTGTTCCTCAGATTAGGACTGCCAATCCTTCAAACTACCCAGGCTACATATCCCAGGCTCAGCAGGTAACAGGCGTGTAGCAGGTGTTTGTGACCAAGGGGGGGGGGTCTCTAACGTGTAACCCAAACTTGGCGAGCGACGCGCAAGGGCGGGTCTGGGGCCCTCCCCCACAAATTTTTTGAAAATTAGGACCCCTAGATGCGTTTTCGCGGCGAGCAAGGCAGGGGGGCGTCGGACCCCGCTGGACCCCCCTGTACACGCCCCCCTGCGGTAATCAACGATTGTCAAATAAAGGATGAAATTATTTCAATGAATCATTTAGTTGGCAGATTGTTTGTTTTCCTTTGCCTTTATTGGTTTTTTTAGCCTTTTGCCTATTTTGCGCTCCCCTGAACATGGCGCCCGGGGCACGTGCCCCCCTTGGCCCCTCCCCTAGCATACGCCACCGCCTCTAATAATACTCTTACATGCTATCTTATTTTTACCTCAGCCACGAAGTGGAGGGAGGTTATGTGATAGGGTCTGTGCATTCGTGTTACACGTTAGCATGTGTGTGTGGTGTGCTGCTGTGTGTGTGTGTGTGGTGTCAGTGTGTGTGTGCCTGTGTGTGTCGGTGTGGTGTGTGTGATAGCTGTGGTGTGTGTGGGTGTAGCTTGGTGTGTGGTGTGTGTGTGTGTGTGTGTGTGCTTGTTGTGTGTCCGTGGTTGGTGTGTGTGTGTGTGGTGTGCGTTGTGTGGGTGTGTTGTGTGTGTGTGTGTGTGGTGTGTGTGTGTGTGGTGTGTGTGTGTGTGTGTGTTGCGTGTGGTTGGTGTGTGTGTGATGTGTGGTGGTGTGTGTGTGTGTGGTGTGTGTGTGTGTGTGGTGTGTGTGTGGTTGTTGTGGTGTGTGTGTGTGTGTGTGTGTTGTGTGTGTGATTACGTTGTGTGTGTCTTGTGTTTGTGTTGTGCTCGTCCTGTGTGTAGTGTGCTGTCGTTATCGTGGTGCTGTGTCGTGTGTGCTGTGGACGCGATCGATAGTTAGCGCGATCAGCGAGCGAGGCAGCACAGCCGGCTGCCTGCAGACTGAGCCAGCAAGCGAGCATACATGTACGCTGGCGTACTCATGGGTGGCGCTGGCGGAGGTATGCTTTCTCCGTGACGTGGCCATCTGTCTAGTTTTAGTTAGTGGTGGTAATGGCGGCGGCCACGCGCGCGCGGCGCGCGTGTGTGTGTGTGTGTGTGTGCGTTGTGCGCGGTTCATCTTCTCCGGGTCATGTTTTTCTCTGCCTCTACATAATAGCAACAACATTATTGGTTCAAAAGTGCTACAACCATAGATTTTTAAAGCAAACTCACTGTTCCCCCCACAGTCCGAGACCCCCTCTTTTAAACTGTGTCCTAGTTCATAGCATTGAATTTCAACGAATCCTAGCTAGTTCGGAGACCCCCATTTTCGAACATAGCGGCGGTTCCCAGAGCATACCACATTCAACAAACATTAGTTCGCAAGACTGACCATTTTTAGCGTCTGAGTTAGTTCTAGAGCCCCCCCACCCATTTTAAATTTCGCGAGCCTGGATTCACTTACCAGATATTACCTACCATAATGTGAGTCGCCCCCGGGTTTCATTCTCCTTGGTTCCGCCTGCAACAATTTTTTTGTTAGAATTTGAGGGCTTTGCAATTAGCTAAACTCTGAGAGCTTCCCGNAAATCAATCATGCACATCATGCACATCAATCATGTACATCATGCACATCAATCATGCACATCATGCACTACAATCATGCACATTATGCACATCATGCAAATCAATCAAGCACATCATGCACATCAATCATGCACATCATGCACTACAATCATGCACATTATGCAAATCAATCATGCACATCATGCACTACAATCATGCACATCATGCACATTATGCAAATCAATCATGCACATCATGCACATCAATCATGCACATCATGCACATCAATCATGCACATCATGCACATCAATCATGTACATCATGCACATCAATCATGCACATCATGCACTACAATCATGCACATCATGCACACCATGCAAATCAATCAAGCACATCATGCACATCAATCAGATGTGCATGATTGATTTGCATGATGTGCATGGTAGTGCATGATGTGCATGATTGATGTGCATAATCATGCACATCATTTGTAGTGCATGATGTGCATAATTGATGTTCATGTTGATTTGCATAATGTGCATGATGTACATGATTGTAGTGCATGATGTGCATGATTGATGTGCAATCATGCACTACAATCATGCACATCATGCAAATCAATCATGCACATCATGCACATCATGCACTACAATCATGCACATCATGCACTACAATCATGCACATCATGCAAATCAATCATGCACATCATGCACATCAATCATGCACATCATGCACTACAATCATGCACATTATGCAAATCAATCATGCACATCATGCACATCAATCATGTACATCA